ATTTTTTTTATTCCTCCTGGGATTTCATGTTGCTTCTTTGAAAGGTTGGTAACTGGTAAGCACTCGTCCATTCGATCTTGAGGCCAGTCAAACATGGGCTCTTCAGGTTCATTAAGAAATCTCTGCTAAAGATTAGTGTGATATGTTATAATCTGGAACGACGGATGCACTTGATTGGATTAAATGGGTTGTGTCGCCGTGAGGAAGAATAGGCTTGTCTGATGAAGGAAGTTGATGACTCTATATCCCAATCTTCAACATTCTTTGGGACACAGACATCAAACAGGAACTGGCCAAGAACCCCATGGGCATTTATCCTTGGTGGGTTCGGCAGATGAATCAGATCTTCTTTGTGTTCATCTGACACAGACCCAAAACCTCTACCTTCATAATACCCTGGTGAGCTAGGCATGAGGAAACGATCACTCTGCATGAGAGGAGTCCCAAGAAAACCCTGGTTTGAGCTTGAAGCTGCTTTCCTCAAAGTGGAATATGGCTCAGATATCTCATCACGTGTCCCCTTTAAATCCATTCTTTCTCCATCACGGTGAACCCTTTGGGAATACACAGCAGCTGCCTTACCGAGAAGCTCAGTCACAGCAGCCTTATAATCAATTGGATAATGCTGATAATGACCTGTAAGGACCACACGGTGATACTTAGTTTTAACAAACAAGAGAACCCACTTCTTTCAAATGCACAGCATAAACTTTGTTCTTTTTGAAGCATCTTTTGTAGCATTAAAAGTACCATCGACATTATAAGCATTATTAAAGGCTGCCAACTCTCTATAATTTGATGTCAAGGAAAAAACTATATAATGAGTTATAATCTCCTGTCTTTCAACGGGGAAAGATTGTAGAACAGATAACTATGAACAATTGATGTTAACCAGGCCCCAGCATTGAGTATTAGCTTTCTTACCTCCCAATTCCCCTGCTTCCAAATTCCTTTTTCCCTTGACTTATTTTAATGCACAACGAAATGCATACAAGAGCAAATTCAACAATCAAGTAGGTTTAGGAACAGACCTACATGAGGTGAGCCATCAAATTTCACAAGTTTTACATCACTGCCTAGTTCTTGTAGTCGCTGAGCAAAATTGCGGATGACTTGATAAGGAGCAAGATCATCATTTTCCGAGTATAAAATAAGATATGGGGCCCGCATACACTGCAAAAGAATCAGAATGAATAAGCATAGAAAGTGGAAGTAGAAACTTATAAGTAGAGTGACTTTTTTACTTACAATAGAGGAGTATAGTGTCTGCCAATACTCAGCACGATGTGATTCAAACCTGTTGAGGAAAAGAGCATCAAGACCAGAGGCTATACCATTTGCCATCATCGATACTATCCGTGGTGGATGAGACATTTTGAGGACTGTTGGGTGTACAACAAATCTTGCGCCCAGATCGCTAGTAAAATCCACGGGACAAGAATCATAAATATGGCCTGAAAAACACTCCTTAACCAGTTGGAGATCATCCTTCAGCACAAAAAAAAAAAAGGAGGGGTAAAAAATCAACATTCTGTGTCAATGTAACAATGCCTTTAACCAATACATGTTGACTAAATGGCAACAACCTTTTTTTCCAGATACCAACAATATGTTCATCTTCAAATATTATGGGACTAAAGTTAAAACAAACTCCAAACTTGATATAATAATGGTGTCAGAAATGAACACATTATCACACATCTAGAAATTATAATAAAGAAATGACACTGGAGTATGAACATTAAGTCAATGAGAACAGAAATTCAGGTGGTTAAGATATTCATAAAAGAAATAGCATACCGCTTTTATCTGCACCTCAGACATGCCCAAAATCATCTGCAATAGGAAAGATCCATTTAAATTTTTCTTTATCAACATAAAAAAATGTTATTGATATGCAATGATCGTAATATGGATCTCTGAAGTTTCAGAAAGATTACCTGAAGAACCTTGTACATGCAAGACTTGGGACCACCCGAGAAAGATGCAAAGACTACAGGGCATGGTCTGACCTTCAGCTCCTACAAACCAAAAATGGAGAGCTAAAAGTTATCTCCTCAATGCATCAATTAAAGTTTCAGATATGATGGGTAAATAAAGATAAAAGCTGTTTATGTGGATGGGACAATTTGAAGGTGTACATGGGACTGGTTGGGCCAAAGGTTTGGATACTCATGTTATCCAAATAAATAAATAAATAATGACTTAATCCAGCCTAAAACACCCCTTCCAAACTGAGTGAATTTCAAGGGTCATTGCTAACAGGAATCAGCTGATATGGAGTGAGAAAGATAACAGCTGAAGAAGTATAATAACACTGACCCGAAGAAGTTCCTTGAGAAGGTTGTGTGCTAGATTCGCAGCCTTCTCAGGGAAGAACCTGCACAGTTCACAAACATCAGACACCAACTCCAAAGTAACACCATTTCATGTATGCAAGAGAATTTATGGGGATTAGTGGAAGAAATTATTACTGCAAACTCCCTATTTCACTCAAATGATATCAAAAGCATGGATTGTATCCTGTCACTCTAGCCAAGAACAAAATTTTAGCATCCAATGGTTAAAGAGAGATTTTCTTAAGAAATTCTACATATGCCAATTAATGTAACTAGTCAAAGAATTGAAGATCAATTGTTCAAGAAACTGTTATTATTACCACAAATACATGCAGTGACAAAAGCAATTGAGGCAATTCGCGCTGTAACAAATTCTTACATTCTGATTTTCCTAAAATGTAAGACAACCGCTGCAATCCTAAGCTTGTTGGCAGCCACTATACAAAGCTTAGGAACTAACAGGTGGAGGAAAAGTTTCAGATATCATCTGAGACTTAGTTTGAGGAAAATCCCAGTTTTTATCAGAGTGAGACAAGTACAGAAGAAATTAGAAAGGAAAAAAATCAAGGATTTAACTTTTCAACTACCCATATCAATTCTCCAACAATTTAAGTTAGTTTTGTTTCCGATCAAAGCAATACATAAAGCATAGCAAACTAATATCAACAATCATATGATACCCCACCAATTCAGAAAAAAAAAAGAAAGAAAAAGCAAAGCAAAGCAAAATTAAGGTAAAACCAAATCTAAGCAGAAGTTAAACAGATGAAAAGAAAAGAGATTGATAAAAATATACATGTTGAGGAACTCTGAATGACAGACGAGCGAATTCCAACCCAAAGAGGAATAAAGTTGCACGTAGTTCTTCAAGTGCCTCTCCTGACTCGACATCCAAGCGAACACCACCACTATCCCCTCGCTCCTTCCACCTCTTCTTTCCTTCATCCCCCAATAATACCTCCCACCGAATCCCCACATTTTCCCTCCCTCTGAATCCCGAAATTCCAGGAAACCAAACACCTTATCCTAATCCGTGTAACTCGAGCTCTTAAAAAAAACTTGATCGGTGAAAATCGAAGTCAGGGAATTTTCAAAATATTGGATTCAATCTATGGCCGAAATAAAACGGAGTTTGATTTTTCTGCAACCATTTTTTTTCAGATGTAGAGGAAGAGGAACAGACGAGACTGGTCCGAGAGAAATAAATAAATAAATAAGATGGAGGGCATCGGATTCTCTATATTCTCTGCACAGCAACTTTATCTGAAACCGCCAGCTGTCACCATAAGAATTGTTTTGACCTAAATCCAATGACCAAAACACCCCCATGCTGTCTATGTCATGGCGCGGTGGTTGAAGATAATTGGTTAGGATGCGTAAATGTGTGTACGGTTTCTTAAAGTCAAAAGTCAAGGCTGCGCACAGAAATGTTATGCGGCTGAGCGTAGGATAACAATTTTCACTCAGCTTTTTCCTACCATTTGGATTTATTTTATTTTTTAAATTCTCGGATTTAGTGGAAAATCATTAAGGTGCATTATTATTGTCGTTATCTCCCGTGGAGCGAGAGGTCCACACATGATCCGATTGTTGACATGGCATGACAGACGGCTTCTTTA